ATAAACAGCTATATCTTCAAGTGATTCTATAAGATAAACAAATGTCAAATATTATCTCAACTCGTCATTAAACTGAATATTTATTGCTTCCAAAGGGCTTCATATCGTGTTACAATAAATAGAATTGGACTGATAGATAATGATTTGTTTGTTTCATCTTTTGTAAAAAATGTAACGGTTTTTAAGTGATATTTGCCCAAATATTTTATATCATACAGATTACCCTGCGTAATCTTATTTTTTTCACTTTATACATAATTATTATGATAATTACTAAATATTTTTGCTTCTTATTACAATTATAAAATATTATTTTTCGAAAACGTTTCGAAGTTTGAAAATACTATAGAAGCATCACATTGTTTTAAATAACAATACTCAACAATTATAGTAACTTATTATTTATCTCGACAAAGTATACGATCTTAAATTAGTGTAGAAAAATTATTTTTTTAAAATATTGCAGATTATGCTAATTTAACACATCGGATACAGACAATACTGTTTATTATAATAATGTAATATGATCTTTTATGAGTTTTTGGTCTTTCTTACTCATAAGTTCGTTTTTGGTGAAAAGTACTCAATATAGTAATAATGAATTAATTAAATTGGATATAATTTTGTTAAATTATTATTTAAAAAAATAAACTTATTGTTTTATTTTATTGTTTTTATTGTTTAGTTGAATATAGTTGTAGTTGTATATACATTTTTTTATATTTGTACTAGTAACTTTCAATTTTCTTTACGTTTGTTTAAGATAATAAAAATATCGGTAATTTACCGGTATTCCGGTTTTAAAATGAAAAATTACCAAAATACCGGTATTGAAATTTTTCATCGGTATTGCAATACCTAGTGTAGAGGTGTGGTGGTTAAAATAAATTTTATTTTACCTCTTTCTGGCCGAAGATCTTTTGTTTCTGGAACGTCCGGCCCAGTTGTCGCCGTTTTGCACTTCATCTTTGCCTTTGCGTTTCTCATTGGAAATGTCTCGTTCGCCTTCCGAAAAAATACTGTCTTCTGATTGATTAATTTCGACTTTCTGAAGAAAAAAATATAAAAAACAGTGCACGCGATTGAAGTAAGAATTTGCTACTGTACAAGATGGCATTTAAAATAAAAAATAAATACATCCTAAAATTTTGAATAATGTTTATTAGTAATATGGTGGTAACACTCGTGATGCACACATTTATTAGTGTCGACCATTATACACATTTATATAATGATAAATTATAAATTATATATTTTGTAATAGCATTAAAATATGTAGAATATTTGAAACAATATGTAATTAAAGTCATACTTCAAATATGACATGATCGGTTTGTCATTGTAATTAGCATTCAGAAATAAAACTTCATTAGAGAATGAAGTAATATTCGTTCACACAATTTTAAACGACGCCTAAACAAATTTGTTTTCGTAACTTCACTCATCATGTAATATTGTGTTGAAGAACTTCATGTAATTAATTTAACATACATTCATTGATTGCTTGTATTTTTTTTTTACATTTTTCCAGACTTTTTTTACTTTTTTTTAAAATAATTTTAAACTTTTAAAATTAAGTTTATTTACTTCTAGTAGAGTCCTTTTTTATAACCTTGCCGTCGGTAGAATCCGCTTTTCAAGTCATTATATTATAATTTTGCTCGACGGTAGAGTCCCTTTATTCTAATTAATAATTTTACTCGTTAGCAGAGTCCCTTTTTTTTGGCTTTTATATCAATTTTGTTCATTTCTATCAAGTTATTTGATCACTTGTCAGTAGAGTCTCTTTTCTATTATATTGTTTATTTATTATTCATTTGTCAGTAGACTCCCTTTTGTCTTTTTTGTCAATTTTAGTTTTGCTCGAAGGTAGAGTCTTTTTTTTATATTTACGAATTTCAAATTTGGTCGCTAGTAAAGTCCATTTTAAATTTTTATATTAAAATTGTGTTTGCTCGTCAGTAGAGTTCTTTTTTAGAGACATTTTTTATTCATATTTTGCTCGTCAGTAGAGTCCCTTCTTTTCTTCTAGATTGAAATTAAATTTGCTCGTCAGAAGAGTTTCCTTTCACAAACATTTCATTAATATTTTTGCTTATCAGTACAGTCCTTTTAGTATCTATATTAAATTTGCTTACCAGTAGAGTCCATTTTCTTTTTCTAAGTTGAATTAAACTTTGCTTTTTTCGTTTAAGATAAAATTTTGATCATATTTAACTATTCGATTTTTATTTGCTCGTAAGTAAAGTCCGTTTTAATCTTTTAGATCAAAAACTAAAGTTTCCTCGTCAGTAGAGTCCTTTTTTATATGTTTCCTTTCTATATCTTTTATATCTATACCAGTTAGTGGAGATCCTTTTCAGTTTTTATATTACTAATTTAAATTCAGTCATCAGTAAGTCCCTTTTATCAACTAGATTGTAATTAAAGTTTGCTTGTAAGTAGAGTCCATTTTATGTTCTGATTAAAAATTATGTTTGTTTGTTAGTAGAGTCCTTTTATTTTTTCATTTAACAGCTTTAGAATCTGTCTTGTCTATAAAAACAATCTATTTAATATAGAAATAATTTCTAATCAATAAACTTACGTTTAGTACACGGACGATTTTTGACGATTACAATAACTTACCCTACGGGAAGTTAATAATAAAATAATATATAATATATTATACTTACAGCTTTGTTTCTTTGAAAAAACGCCTGTAATTTGTTAGGATTCAGCTTGTTCAGTTTCGGTGATGATGATGTTTTCTGAAACCATCTGCGTTGTGGATTTGTACATTTATCTAAAAAATAAAAATAAATAAAATAATTTGCTAATTGATGACAATAATTTTTGTAACATAAAGAAACGACTCAGCTGATCTGCGCAAAAAATAATCAGCACGATTACAACTGATGTGAATATACAAAATCGGTTCAGCACAAATTGAATTACAGACTTATATTTTTTTTATCCTCACCTTTAACTCAAAATATATCTCGCACCAAAATCCGCAAACACATATATACAGAAATTAACGCAAAATCTAACATTTACATCTCACCAGAAAATCATGAATCCAATTATAAAAAGGTTGTATATGATATAAACACAAAAAATTTAGCACCAAAAAAAAATCCAAAACGATTTGACATTACATAAGGATTTCATTGTTTCACCAAGCTCGTCAAAAAAAAAAAAATAAAAATAAAATAAATTTTATCCATTTACTTACCGCTTTCAGGCAGCATGGATGCCGCCATGTCTGCGAAATGGTTAAAATTCTGGTTGCATTTTGTTGAGTTGCACTGGTTGAAATTTTGAATTTGGTCAGTTGGTTGTCAATTTGACAACCGACGTTGTCAGTTGGTGGTGAAAAAAATGAAAGTGGCAGAGGATACTTGAAAGATGGAGTTCGAATAGACCAGGATTCTTTGAATTCAACTTCTGGTGGATAATGTTTTTCTTCGATTTCAAAAACATTTCACTTCAGTTTCTTGATACATCTTTACCACATTTGTTAGAAAGTCTCTAGAAAATAGTTTCTAGAAAGTTAGAAAATAGTTTCCATCTGCCATTGTTACAGTCCATGCCTCTAATCCGTCCAAATTAAATACTATTTTTAGAATGATTGAAAATTGTTATAAATATATCATAGTCAACATAAATCAAAATGAAACATATTTGAAAACACACAAAGACGTAACATTTACGAAATATAAGGTTACGTAGTATTTACGTAACACGTAAATTAAGTCTTACCCCATGTGAGTCCAATTTAGTTTTCTTTTTCGATTCAAAAACACTATTTTACTTTCTTGATCCATTTTCACTAGATTTCCAAGAGTCCAGGTTTCTAATCACTACAGAGCTATAGTAAAACTGTTACTTGTTACTTACGTAACATTTAAGAATCGAGTTACGAAGTTATGTAACGGATGATCTTATGATTTCGATATTTCTGTAAAGAAAACATATAAAGTATTATACATCGTTAGAAAGGTCTCAAAATTCTTATTTTTTTTCCCATATATAGTAACTTCAAATTCCTCACGGTGTGGCCTATAGGCAAGTTGCTATCGATAAATTCCAATTTTTAGATGGGCCACCCTATAGCTAGAAAGTAAATTGTATGTTAATTTATAATAAGAAATATAATAAGACTCGAAAGATTACCATAATTTTTAATTATGTTTTTCTTTTTGATTAATTTAATTATGTTTCTATTAAAAGTCGTATAAAAATAAATGCTTTTTATTGCAATAAATAATTTGTGAATATATTATTACATATAAATAATTTTTACACAAAATATACAAATTTGTCATAAATACTTACTTAGATAACTAAAGATTAAAAAGATAATTTAAAACTATCTTTGATGCGTTTATGCAAATTAACTAGTGCTTGGTTTCCTTTTGTTTCAATAGTTTTGTGCGAAATGGAAGCTGATAATAAAATATTTATTAAATAAATTAATAAATACTAAATTGATTTAAAGTTTTTTGTCTACATATTTATTTAAATTGTGTGTAATTGTTAAGTTCGTATTTAGTTTAATTTTAGTTTAGGCCTTATTATTGACTTCAAATCTAAAACAGAGACTCAAAAAGTGTAAAATATAATTTTTTTAATAAAAATCATTAAATTAAAATATTTATTCCACAAATTGATTATAATAAATTTCAAGGATTTAGTTCAATCAACAAAACCATAAGTCAGTATTTTACAAAAGACTGTAGATCTCTGTTCTAGATTTAAATCTAATTTTATATTAATAATTAATTAATTTATTATATTGATTACCTTGATTACCATATAATTACTTATTCGTATCTACGACTAGTATATTTTTGTTTCGACAAAAGAGGCCCTCGTGAATATTTAAATATTTTAATTAAAAATTATTAGGCCCAAAAGAATCACTTAGTAATAAAATTAATATAGAACTTCTGGCATTAGATAAAAATAAGAAAATTTAGTATTTCAGTTTATAACTGACACAAAAAATTATAGATATTTTTGGAGCTAAGAATATCTCTTCTATCTTGATCCGAATCCAGTATCTCAGATTTGGAGATTCGATTAATTAAAGACAAACCTTTTAGGTCAATACGAGGCTTAAAAATGTTTTCCTTGGGCTCTAAAATTTTTCAACCACTGATTTATCAGTGTACGCCTAAACATCTAAATATTATATCAATAATTAATTATTTTTTTGTATTAAATTTAAGGTGACCTAGGTGTACGTTCGTCCAGTGCACATACAAGTGCCTTCATAACACTTGCTGCTGCCAAAGAGGCGTAAGGCTGCCATTCTTTGCCTCTACTACCATCTCTGTAATCAGCAATACCTAAAAAAACAAACAAGAATAAAATATTTTCTTGACTGTGACTTAAATGTTATATTTTTTACCCCTGATGCAAATAAAACTGTCCCTGCAGTTTCCTATAACGCTTTCAACGACTGCATCCATGTCCATGTCGAAGGCCAGGGCTCCATGTTTGGCCACAGCCTGGCTTCGAGAGACTTCGTTGCCTCTGGCTGCTGCACGACCACAGCAGACAGCTCCTAAATGCAGTCGGGGTTGTCCTAAACCTTCAGCACTAGAAAAATGATAGTAAAATTCAGTCAGAAGAATTTAGACACAAGAAAGCATGTATCATTTATCATTTATCTTTATCAATAGTAAAATTTAGTCTCGACTGAGACACTTGAGTGCTGAGACACAAGAAAACATGTATCGTTTATTATTTATCTTTTACCTCAGTCTGGTAGGATCAGCAGGATGCTCCACCTCGATAACATCCCTCTCACCTATACTCATATAAAGTTTATCAGTATCTGCAGGAGGTCTATCGAAACCCTGCTGCTCTCCTCGGGATGTCAAACAGTCTCTGAGCCTGCTCCATGTACCTTGACCATGGTGTCATGTAACCACTGATTTCGGCAGTGGCGTGCAGTTCTCTTATAATATCCTAGAAAATGTAAATGTTATATTAAAAGACTGATAGATAAAATTATTATAAGAACCAGATTTTCAAGATTATGATAAAGACTATTACCTCGAGAATCATGTCATTGGGTTTGTATGTTTTCGTTTCTGCTGGATTGTCAGAGTGATAGACGTAGACATATCTGAAATAAAATGAGAAATATATATTTGAGGTTATGTTTATCTCCAGAACATTTCTGCATATTATAGTCAGATTTGAAAAACGAACTTATAAGAAAAACGTTTACAAATGAACTATGAATGACAAATCGACTTTCCGCACATATTATTTATATATATATAAAAAAATTTATAGCAATATATATTTATTTATTATTTATTTCACAAAGCATTTAAATTCTAAGCTGTGAAGTGCGCAAGTGTCCAGGAACGAACTTCACAGTATTGTCTGCTTAAGTTTGTCTGTCATTTTTAAATGTTTATTTATAATAAATTATACACGCAAAGCGACTTTGTAGTTAAATTTTATGACCATATTTATTATTTATTCATTATTAATAAAATAAAAATAAAAACCATTTAAAATAATAAGATTCTCTACAACGTGAAGTGCGCAGTGCGTCCAGAACCCAACTTCACAGTGTTCCTGATTAAGATTAACCGGTATATTTGAACTTGAATTTGAATGTTGAATAATTTTTGTTTAAATATTAATGAATATAATGATTTTGCTTATATTTATACAATCATTATATTGTAAAATTAAATATATAAACAGGCAATGAAAAAACGGTTAAGATTTGTCATAAATCTTAATTTCTATATCTCTGAATAACAGTTTTTCAAACCAAATCACTATTAAATAAGAACTATTAACCGAAACATGTTGAAATAATTTTTTTCATTGAAAACAGACTGGTCATGGTGTTCTAAAAATCAGCATAAGCATATCATCTTGTTCGAAAACTTGACAAAATCGTTTTCAAAAATAATATTTGAACAAAACACTGATGAGATTTTATTCACGCAATTTTTTTAATATTTAAATAAAAATCAATTCAACTTACGGTCTTTGTGAAGAAGTAGCAGATACCACGACATCTCCCAAACGAACATGTTTTCCATAATCGGTATAATGTGGTACACCACCAGCTACACCAACCAGAATGACATATTCCACCTGAATAAATAAAAAAATAAAGAAAATCGTTATAACATGTAAGTTACAATCCAAACATGTTTCAATAAATAAATAACTATCAGATATATTTGAAACTTATCCTCCAAATTATCTAACGATCTAACTTGGATACCTAAAAGTAATTTTGATAAAAAGCTGATGGGAGTTTTTATTATACTAACCGTAAAAAGAGTGTCCAAATAAATGGATTGGTAGACTCTTGGTCAACCATTGACACTTCTGATAACGTCTTTACAATTTATCAGAATATTGGTACAATCACCTACTTATTAAAAATGCTTTTGAATTTACCAGATCACTTTAGCTTGTTTTGTTTAAATTATTTTCAAAACAATCTTGAACCTGGTCCACCACCCAACTTGTTTTTCCAGCCAATCATCTATCTACCTTTTTTATACCATACAATTACATTTATTCTTGGGTCTAAATCATTTTCACTTTTGAATTTGAGAGCAATGTGAACCTAGTTCCAAAATTTCATACAAATTGGAGCACAGTAAAAAAATTAAAACGCTCCATTGACTTGGTTAAATATCCATATGAATTTTTGACACAATGGAACTTCTAAATAATTTATTGAATAAGTAATTTTTTTTTAGTTAAAAATTTATCAAGTGTCCTTTACCCTTACCTTTTGGAAAGTCCCCAAAAGTCTGGTCGTGGTATTACCAGCAGCAGTCAAAGCCTCTCTGGTATGACCTACTGCTGGTAATTTAGTTGACACGATTTTGTGCCTTCCAATATTTCCTAAAGTGTATACATTCGATTCACCTGGAAAGGAAAAAATAAATAATTTATAAAAAATGTTTAAATAAATTGGAGACGACAAACACAAAACATTTAGGAAACCAATTTTAGGGACAAAGTTGTGAAGGAAGGTTTTAGCAAAGATTGAGAAATTTTTACTCCAAGTGAACCAAATTTTTACCCCAAATTTATATATATTAGTAATATTTTCGCAGCCCAACCGTCGAATTAAAAAAAAAGATTAAAAAACAAAATTATTTATTCCATTAAACGTTTCGACACTTGATGTGTGTCACCATTCAGTAATCCAAAAAGAACATATAACATAAATACAAAGTTGATGATAAATATAAATATATAAAAAGGAGGAAATTATACATACCAAACCAGGAAAAACAACAGAAAAAATTAATCATAATGTAAAATTGATTGAACACTAAATTTGTGTAAAAAAATAATATATACTATTATATTAACAAACGAGAAATTGAAGGAGCACATATTGCCCTCCTATATTTAATGTTATTTATAGCGGTGCATTATGGACACTGATCAAGGTTACAACGCAGTGTAGTCACGCACGTATAATGAAGGAGTGGGAGAGAGTTGTGAGAAACGAAAGGGGAAAAAAGTTAATTAATTTTTTCTGTTGTTTTTCCTCGTTTGGTATGTATAATTTCCTCTTTTTTATATATTTATATTTATCATCAACTTTGTTTTTATGTTATATGCTTTGTAGATTACTGAATGATGGCACACATCAAGTGTCGAAACGTTTAATGGAATAAATAATTTTGTTATTTAATCTTTTTTTAATTCGACGTTTGGGCTGCAAAACTATTACATATATATATATATATATATATATATATATATATATATATATATATATATACATATATTAATCCTTGACTAAGCAGTAACATGAACTACAGAGCAAATGTGTTTTGTTTTAGAAATAGCTTTTAGAATGTACGTTTCAAATTTCGTAGTGTAAACATATCCACTAGAATTCGTAGTTTATAAAATCCAGAATGCATAAACATGATTTAGTTAGTATCACATTACACAGATTCCCAAACTGTGAACCGAGAATAATATTGAAAAAACATACCAACGATGAAAGGATACAAAATTAATTATGTCTTTCTTTAACAAATCATTTTTGGAATGTAATTTTTCAATTATATCGTAGTTTATAAAATCCAGAATATCATAAACATGATTTAGTTAGTATCGCATTAAACAGATTCTCAAACTGTGAACCGAGACTAATATTGAAAAAAAAGCCAACGTTGGAAGCATACAAAATTAATTAGGTCTTTCTTTAGCAAATCATTTTTGCAATGTAAATTTATTATTATATCGTAGTTTATAAGATTCAGAATATCATAAACATGATTTAGTTAGTATCACATTACACAGATTCTCAAACTGTGAACCGAGAATAATATTGAAAAAAGAAGCCAACGATGGAATGATACAAAATTAATTAGGCCTTTCTTTGACAAATCTTTTGACGAATGTTTAAAAAATAATATTTTTTATTATTTTGTAATTTATAAAATCCAGAATATCATAAACATGATTTATTTAATATCAAGTTCCACAGATTCCCAAACTGTGGACCGCGTTTATAAACAAAAGAGACACAGACAACATGAAAACACTGAAAAATGGTTTGTAATTTTCTTTCGTCAGTTTTTAATAAATATTTTAAAGTATACCGAGTTGCTGTAGGATTCTACAATGTTAGCAAATATTATTGAAAATTGAGTTTTGAACAAATTTGCCAAATATTCCATCAACATTAAATGTGTTTTTTAAACGTTACAAGAGATAATATAAATGAATGCATAAACGTGCAATCTTTTACTATAAATAGTACAGCTGGTTTATTTCTGTCCAGTTTGTTCTTAGAATACGATAATCTGATAACAAAATAGATCCTTTATCAACTGATATAAAGTTGGTTAGTGGGTTTCATTGTAGAAAATCGATATTTAGTTGTTTTGTTTCGGAGGAGTCGTCGAGTCGCGCCGGGAACATTAATTCTGAACCCACGCGCTCACCCATTCGACCTATCTTTGGTTAAATTTGTTATTTACGACGTGACCTCATTTTTTCGATCTTCATTTTATTCCTTATTTTTATTATATGTAATATATTCTTGTGTTATGTAACATAATTTATACTTATAACATTTTTGCTAGACGTAGAAAAATATTATAATATCTTATATATTTATATCGTTATTTTCAACTCTAGAAAAAAATAATTCAAATCTAAATTTTTCTCAAACAAAAGACTTGCTAGTGCAACCTCAATAATTTATAATAATTTCTGCGTGTTATTCTGGTCTAATTATATATCAAAGATCTATTTTATTATCAAACTATAGTATTTCGAGAACAAACTGGGTAGGAATAAACCCGCTGTACTATTTATAGTAAACAATTGCACGTTTATGCATTTATTTATAATATCTCTTGTAACTTTTGAAAAGTGCGTTTAATGTTAATGGAAAATTTGTTCAGAATTATATTATCTACAATATCTGTTAATATTGCAAATCTCTAAAGCAACTCAGTGTGCTTCAAAATCGCACTTGAAAAAATTAACAAGGTATATTAGCGCGCAAAACGCTTGGATCAATTAGCGTTCAACTTTATGTGCATTTATTTACTGTATCTCTTGTAACTTTTAAACAGTTTGTCTAATATAAATGAAATATTACGCAAATTTATATAAAATTAAATACTCCACAATATTGTCTAACATTATAAAACTCTATATCCACTCGGTGTACTTTAAAATTACAATTGAATATCGAAAAGTTTTCCTGATTAAACACACCTTTATTTTAAATTGCACACAAAGTGCTCGAAACGATTAAATGAATAATTAAAAGTGAGAAATTGTTAGCCAAAGGTTAAAATCGAATTATATATATATATATATATATATATATATATAATTATTTTTGTTGTGGAAAAATTCCGGTTTTCCGGATTTGGATAGTCGATTTTGATCCGGATGGCATTTGATGAGAAAGATCTAATATGATTTTGCAAAGATTCTCAAAAATAATAGAAAATTGGGAACTAAAAAATACTTTATTTATATGTATATATATATATATATATATATATACTAGCAAACCCGACGAACTCCGTTTCGCCACCAGATGCTTTCGTGAGAAAGGTGAAGAAATTTTTTGTTTGTTTTATATTTGAAAAGGAAAAATTTGATTTAATTATACAATAGTAATGAATTTATTTCGATTACAAAAATGAAGTGTTTTTTAGTTAAACTTCTCTAAATAAATGAAAGTGAATCCGCAAATTATCCGTTTCATTGAAGTGCACTTTCGTAAACCACATTTTTTGTTTTTTGGTTCGTGCGTTCTGGAGTTATATCGTCAGGAAAGAAAACCCGATATATATATATTTAAAAAAAATTTCACGTTTCTATAAATGCTTAATAAAAATGGCCAATTTTAACGCTTAATAAATTTGTTTATAAAGTTTAATAAATTGCTAATTATCTAGCTCTAGATTTGTATTACACTTAAGGACGTTTTTTTTTAATTTTTTTATTTTATTTATTTAAAAAAAATTATTATTTATTTATATATTATTTTCAGACAGGGGTATCTGGTATGAGAGATTATGAAACAATGTTCATATTTTATATATACATATCATTTATCTACTTCATTATACAACAATATAGTATTTATCATAATTAAAATATCTATTCAATCTTCAATTCCTTTATAATATTTCTTTATTTTCCTTTTGAAATTATTGTCAATATTAATACAAGTTTTAATTGATAATAATGATGTAAGTTTTTAATATAGTAAAAAGTGATGTAAATTAATTTTGAAACTCAACCCACAAAATTAACTTAATTTCATTAACTTAATTATATGATGTTAAAAAAGAATTCGAGGTCTTGTAACTTTCACATTATTTGTGTTATATATATGAAATATTTAAAAAAAAATTCAGGATATTGAACAATTAACACTATTTCCTAATATTATATTAGGAAATATATTCCTAATATTACCGTACATCAACTCGGTGTACGTTCATGCATTTAGTTACTATATCTCTTGTAACTTTTAAATGATTGGTCTAATTTTAATAGGATATTCGGCAAACTTGTACGAAATTAAATAATCTACAATATTTACTAACACTATAAAACCCTACATCAACTCGGTATACTTTAAAATCGCCCTTGAATAAAGAACATTATTATGGGCACACTTAGACAGTTGCATCCATGCATTTATTATATCTATTGTAGCTTTTATAATTTTTGTCTAATTTTAATAGAATATTCGGCAAATTTGTAAATAATTAAATAATCTACTATATTTTCTAACACCATAAAACCCTACATCAACTCGGTATACTTTAAAATCGCCCTTGAATATAAAATAATATTATAGACGCTTTAAACAGTTGCTTTTAAGCTGTTTAACTTTTATAATTTTTGTCTAATTTCAATAGAATATTTGGCAAATTTGTATAAAATTAAATAATATACAATATTTTCTAACACTATAGTACCGTACATCAGCTCGGTATACTTTAAAATCGCACTTGAATAAAGAACAATATTATGGATACCCTTAAACAGTTGCACTCGTTGCATTTATTTAGGCATTCGCATTGCAGTTGCATTTATTTAGGCATTAATTCATTATATAACTTGTAACTTTTATACTTTTCATCTAATTTTAATGGAATATTTTGTAAATTTGTAGAAAATTTAATAATCAACAATATTTACTAACATTATACAACCCTACATCGACTCGGTATACTTTAAAACCGAAATTGAAGACATAGACAGTAAGTCATGGCGCTTAAACGACTTGCAACTCATTTGTGCATTTATTTATTAAATCTCTTGTAACTTTTAAGGTTTTCGTCGAAACTAAATATAGTATTTGACAAATTTGTAGAAAATTCAATAATCTACAATATTTAGTAACACTATAAAAC